CTAAGAGAGACCTTTCAGCCTCTTTAATGACCCAGCCACTGCTAGTCACTGAGGCAGGAAATGACTGTAGCATTCAACTACTCCTCTTACTGGGCTACCTTTCTATGTATCTATCTATCCCTAAGCTCTTCAAAAGCCACTCCTTTCCTTGCCCAGGGCCTAGTACAGCACACACACACAGTATATTCACAATATATGTTTTTGAGGATGAACTCAATAAAAAAGAAAGTATATTATGAAGGGATAATCTGGAGACTACTGAGACATTAGCTAATTGTCCCTAAAATGTCCCACACTAGTCAGCATTTCCTTAAACATTGTTATATATTATTTCTCAAATGTTTCAGCCCCTTTCTACTACTAATGTCTATAAGACATTGAATTTTTATAATTACCAACTGCAAAGGGCTTTGAGCCAGTATACCTATAATGGAACATGCTTTAGCACAATGTAGACAGGATGCTGGGAAACAAACAAAATGCTTTAAGCACACTGAATAAGTTGTGTCCCTACTGATTTACTGATTCAACAAAAAAATTTTTGAGAATTAGGCAAACCAGAGTACTAGTGACATAGCAATGAGCAAAATAAATGTGGACACAAGAAAAATCTTTGTTTTCATGGAACTCACATTCCAATTTTTTAAAAATATATTTTATTGATTTTTTACAGAGAGAAAGGGAGAGGGATAGAGAGTTAGAAACATCGATGAGAGAGAAACATTGATGAGAGAGAAACATCGATGAGAAACATCGATCCGCTGCTTCCTGCACACCCCCTACTGGGGATGTGCCCGTAACCAAGGTACATGCCCTTGACTGGAATCGAACCTGGGACCCTTCAGTCCACAGGCTGATGCTCTATCCACTGAGCCAAACCTATTATAGCTCACATTTCAATTTTATTTGAGAAATAAAAGTAAGAGAAAGGCCGAAACCGGTTTGGCTCAGTGGTAGAGTGTCAGCCTGTGGACTGAAAGGTCCCGGGTTCGATTCTGGTCAGGGGCATGTACATTGGTTGTGGGCACATCCCCGATAGGGGGTGTGCAAGAGGCGGCTGGTCGATGTTTCTCTCTCATCGACATTTCTGGCTCTCTCTCTCTCCCCCTTCCTCTTTGTAAAAAATCAATAAAATATATTTAAAAAATAAAAAAAAGAGAAAGAACAGATAATATGAAAAGTAGAGATGACTATTCAGACAAAAGATAAAGCATGATAAAAGGACAGAGAGTGAGAGGGGTGCTATTTTGGGGAGGGCAAAGCAGCACTTTCTAAGAAGCAGACCTTTGAGTGAAAGAAGCTTGAAAGGCATATGGTCAGGACATAAGTCTACAGATATCTGAGAGGAGATATTCAAGGGAAAATAAGAAGAAAGGGCAAAGGCCTCGGAGGCTGGAGGAAATTGGCAGGTTCCAAATTAGCAAGGACACCAGCGTGGCTGAAATCGAATGAGTGGTGCGACAGGGTTAACAGATAACCTCTGCACTGGACAGAAATAGACTCACACCGGAAAAGGCCGGGAAGGCAAGCAATTATGAAAATCTCATCTTTGCCAGTACTTAACTTACGAAAAAACTGGGTAAGGTTTCCTAGATTAAATTATAACGTAAAAATCTGCAAATGAGGGCCAGGCTAGAATGAAGCAGCCCCAGTTCTCAATGACTGTTCACAGGCGGATGAAGGAGAACCCACCAATGGACCCCAGAGGAGTCCTGGCCTGGGGCCAACAGAAAGGCCCACTCTGAGCCGATGTCACAGGGACCTGTCCAGAGTGGTGGCACCAGAGGAAAGAAGGAGGGCCTGTTCTTGACAAGGGCATCGTCATTTACAACAGCGACAGCTTTGGAAAAACTACAGCAACAAAAACAGACAAAAAGACATAAAAGGGGGAAAACACCCAGTTCTAGTCACCAAAATAACTTCTATTTCATAATTAAAAAGCATCACAAACAGTTTCCAAACTATAAGTTTGGGGTCCATACAATCTAACTGTTTCTGATGCTAGGACCTCACTTAACCTCCACTGATGGAGTCCCAGGGTCTCAACCATTACAGTAACACTCTGTCACTCTAAGTGTTCTGCTTTCAGCTCTGTCCTTCCAACCGCCTTCTTCTTATGATCCCCTCTCAGGGTCTTGAGAAGATACCTTTATCTTACTTTATTCCTTTCCCACTCACTTCCTTGAAGTCTAATAATTATAGAGAAGGCTTTATTTTTGGAAGACATTTCAATTTGAATGGATCAACCCAATATAGAATAAAAAATGTCAAATCATAAGCCCATGCATGACTTAATCTTTACTTTAAATATATAAATGCTGAGAGGAGTTTAAGGAAGAAATTCTGTAAGATGGGCAATTTTAATCTCACTGAAGATTAACCACCTCAGAGAATTAATATTTTATCAAGAAATCCAAACTGCAAAGCAGAATTGACTTTAAAGTCAATTTTCATCACAAATTATTCCTTTAAGTTCTGGGAGTTTAGGGACCCTGTTAGTAATAGAGTATAATTTAAAATTCTAAATATCTACGATCTCTAAATATAAAGATCTCTAAATATCTACGCTCTCAATAATCACTTGCCTTCAATATTAACAAAATGATGTCACAGTAAGCTAGCTCAGAATTGCCCTCGGTGGCCAAGAGAACTGGATTCCTCTTGCTGTGCACCTGCTGGCACAGCACTGGCGTGCCAATGTTAACGCGGAAGTTTATAATGAGACTGCTGATGCTCAGGTGAGAGCATCCTGGTTCCCCTATGTTAATATTCCTCCTTAAATTATAAGCTGATCTGTAACGCTGCACTATAGTTACAGTAGATGAAACACTGAAAGAGTAGTTTGGTTTCACATGGAAACAGTTACCAAGACAAACCTTGGAGGATGGAGTTCCAAGAATATTAAATCATAAGAAATTGTTTCAGCAGCTGGTTAAAGCTGAGTGTACATGACACAAGACATCTGGTTGTCTGTGCATTTTCAGTTCATTTAAAAAGTATAAACACATTAAAACACTGAAATGTTTGATATATTACAACACTGTCTGCTTGCTCCCCAAGAGTGTTTAAGTGGCTGGTCTAGTCATTGTACTCATGGCCTATTTACTAGCTAAAGGGATTTACCATTTCCATCCCCCTTAACTTCAAGATATATTATCAACAAAGGAAAAAAAGTATTCATTTAGAAGATATTACTGGTATTTGTAAGCACATAATGTAATAGAGGTAGTGCTATTTCTAAAATTAAATCAGGAACACATGAAGCATCACACATACTATGACAAGTAAACAGCAGATAACGTGCTCTCCCTCCCACAATGTGACAATATGTAACAGAAACATAACTACAGCGGCTTAACCAAAATAAGGGTTTATTTGTTTCATTCAAGAAGAAATCCAAAGGTAAGTGATCTAGGGGTGGTGTAATAGTTCCGTAATGTCACCAATATCCCATGTTCCCGGGACACTGTTCTTTGCGTGCTGCAGTCATCATCAAGCTTTTAAGACGCCTAAATGCTGCCTCCACATTCCAGGAAGGAAGAGAAGAAGAATAAAGAGCAAAAAGCTGGAGGTAAGTGCTCTACAAGCTTACATCTCCCGCTTACATAATATTGGCCCAAACTCACAGGGCCACATATCAGGCACATTCAATTCCCAGCGTGCCTAAAAACCAAGCTGGGCATACACTGTCCCCCCAAACAATACTGGAGATCTGTTAGAAAGGAGGCTGAGAAAAGGACATTGGCAGCTAATAGTGTGTCCGTCACAAGAGCTCATCATGAATGGGCCCTGCCTTCCAAGCTGTACAAACTCCAAACCACAACAGGGTTTGGTGAATCCCACTTCTAAATCTACATTACAATTCTGGATGCGGCACTTATGCACAACAGAGGCCAGGAGCCCATTTTCCACAAATACCTGTCTTTCCAACGATATCCCCATGTAGATTAGATTCTATGATGATAAATCTTAAAATCTACTTATTTAAAAAATAATTTCTTTAAAATATGCATTCTCAACAGAAACGATATGACCCCTTCCTGACCCCCCTCCCCCAAGAGAATAAAAATTAGTTCTCTGAGGTGAAAAAGTCAGATATTATAGTGATTCATGGTGCTTCAAGGGGGGGGGGGGCAATTAAGAAAAAGTCTAAAAGGGTTCCTCAAAGAAGCAATTTTTAAAAAGGTTGACAGTAACTGCTTTAAAAATAACAAACATTTTGAATCATGCTGGAATGGTATTCGATTGCAGTGACAGAAATCCATTACCATAAACAATTAAGGGTCTATTTTTCTCACATGAGAAGTCCAGAGGTGAGAGGGGTTGGATGGACTAGCAGTTGATGACTTTGGTTTAGCAGCTAAATGACATCAAAGCAGACTTTTCAGTGATTCTCTTGGCTCATGGTGCCAAGATGGCCACATAATTCAAAGCACCATGTTCACATTGTAGACAGCAGGAAAGAGGGCTGTCAATAAGAGAAAGATAGGACTCCTGGTGGAGCCAGGTCCCCTGAAAGAGCTTTACTCATACTTTCATGGAGAACTTCTCCCTACATCTCAATGACCACATCTACCTTCAAGAAAAGATACACATGAAAATCCCAAACTGGCCGTTAATAAAAGCCGGACATAAGAAAGAAGGGGAGGACATAACAAATAATGGATGAACAACTAGCTGCACCTACCACATACGAATTTGTTTCAGACAAATTCTTAAACCCTTGTTAACAGAGATTGTTAAGTTCATTTATTACAGAGATTAATGTAATTCTGTGCTTACCATATGCTTAGTATTGTTAACAACTTAAAATTGTTTTGATGATAGTCAGAGTTTAAATATTACTAGGCAAGAGAGATGAAAGAACTCCATGAATGTACTACCCTTAAAAGGCATACATGAAAGTTCTACACTAGGACCCACAAACCCTTCATCATCACCCATTACCATCTTCCCTACACAAAGAAGACAGAACAAACTCCAATGTAGCCAGAACTTACATGAGTGGAATATCAGTGATTAACTGCATCAAACAGCAGACTAATTCTTCCAAAAGATCTTCTGAGTCAGAACCTGGTAAGATACACAAAAAGTTTGTTAACAAAGTATAAAATAGAATGGAACTATTTAGAAGTTCAGTTTTCATTCCTAATGAGAATAAGAATAATTATTACATACACTCAGACATTAACGCTGATCGTTGAGTAAAACCGAAATCATAAGTTAGCATCGATTATGATTTCCATCTATAGAGGAATTTTGAACACTATCAATTACACATTTTTTAACATTTGAAGGTAACTATGACTTCTGTAGGCCAGTAGCCAAATATATAAAACATGAAAAAGCAAGCTGCTCCTAGCTGGGGCTTTGTTTGAATCAGGAGTAGATTTAAACCCCTCAGCCCCCTAAACAACGGGCCTTGCCCTTGATCTTCTTTTCTGAACCTGTGGGGACTCCACAGATGACATTCTGAAACCAAGTAAGAGGCCAGACATCTACCTCTTTCACAGACAGAAAGCCAAAGGTAAAAGGGATTTCCAAGTCCTATGAACAAGTGGCAAAGACAGGTTACAAATTACCCTCCCAGTGGAAATGCTCCTCTGAGTGACTTCTGGCTTTGGACAACACTGAGACACCTACTCTTTCCTCCCCAGCTCCTAGGACACCTTATTGCTAACCTACCTCTCACTCTATTCATTCCCAGTATCCACGTCCTCAGATTGCCCTTCGACTACTGGTCCACTGCCCAGAGTGCCACCATTGGCTTCCTTCTCCTCATCTCGCTCCCTAGGATCTCCTTTATCAGTCATCACTTGTATGCTGGCGACTCCTACAGTTTTCCTCTTGTCTCTCCACTGAACGTCATCTTTATATCCAATTGTCTGCGGGCCATCTCCACCTAGATGCATCACCAGTACGCTAGCTCAATAAGTTCAAAACTGAACTCGTTTGCCCCAACACCTCACATCCATGTACCTGTTCTTTATTCTCCTTTTCAGTGACTACATCAGTTAACCCAAACCAAAACACAGGCTATTCTCTCTGTTATTCATCTCAAGGTCCTATAAATTACAGTCACCTCTTTGTTATTTACTCTTTTCTTCATTTCCTGCCATGCCTTTGTTCATTATTGCATGCTCTCAGTTCAGTTAAACAAGTTTATTAAATTAAAACTCCTAATCTTCTTTAAACCTTCCTACTAGTATTCCTATAAATTTACTCCTCTCCACAATCCAAACTTCAGATTATCATAAAGACCTAACTACAGTCCATCCTTCCATTCTCCTGCCTTAGACCTTTATAATTGCTTTAAACTGATTATGAATCAGAAAGAACTCCAAGCTCCAAAGTACAGCATGCCAGACCCTTTGAGATACAGGCCCTGCATCCCTTTCTACATTTATCTCTCACCATTATTCCTTTCACAATTTATATTCCAGCAAAATCAAACTACCTACTACATGCCACTTTATGCCTCCTCAATAACATTCTGCCTGAAATACCCTCCAACAATAAAAATATAATTTTTTAAAAAGAGCTAATCTTTATCATTCCTGAACCATCCTAAATCTTCATTTCCTCTATAAAACACAACTCTTTTTCCTCCCCTTGAACAAAAATAATAATCTAGGTTGCATCTATGCCTTGTTCATATGTCTTTCACTGCATAATTTGGTTACATTGTATCATAATTCTTCTCTACATGTAAGCAGGCTTCTATTGGACTCTATTTCTCAAGGATAATGACTAAGAGCTTGGCATGTGATGTATACTCAATACATGTTTGCTCAACTGAACCCAGCTGTCTAAGTATAAATCTAATGGTTATTTCCAAAGGCATCAAAGCACTTGGAGTCTTGAAAAAATTTAGCAATTCTTTTTTTCTAGACCACAATCACCTTAGTAGTCAGGAATTATGAAGAAACCCCTTCCTGCCTTGCCATAAATAGAACTGGCTCAGTAACCCTCTGCGAGGTGAGTGCCAAGCTTGAAGAGAACATTAAGTCACAATGAACACACCAATCAAGGCTAAGAAGAATACACAGCAAGAATCAAGTTCAATAACCACATTAAATCTCACTCTAAAAGAGATAGGCTTATTAGCTCAATGAGTGAAGGAAGTAAAACAAGGAAATAAGTAACATTTGTCTCTGAGGTTACATAATAAGTAGATCTAACTAAAATCCTCCTCATTGTCAAAGCTGTCCAACATAACCCACGTGAATTAACAACCTATTCCAACAAGCTCATTTGCTGTCATATAATACATATTCAATATATGTTTGTTAAACCATCATTCCCTGACTCATCCTGCAGAATGTATTGACCCAGACCCAAGAAGAACATCTAAAATCTTCACTGATTCCTTACAGAACATTTCAGACCAAATGAATTGGACAGTTTAATAACATACCTTTATTTAACCAAGCAGCCAGCAGTGTTTTAATTACAGAAACAAGCACTCAGAACCCACAGATGGTGCCTGATTGTTCTATTTTCCTTCCAGGGGTGTAAACCCAGATTTTTAAATCTTAACATGGTGACAAGAACACTCTATCCAGTTCTATGTGCCATCTAAATAATAACCTTGGTCAAGTTTACAGCTGGGTCAATTAAGGAATATATTCACAGCTTTGTTATCAATTTATCATAATAAAAAATATTTCATACACATAAAATGTAACATATCAAGGCCAAAGCTCTAACAAAAGACACGAATAAAGAATTTCCAGCTGAAATCTGACAACTTCCATTTACTTTAAGAAAGTCCTGCAGAATACTATATGCTTGTTTTTGAGCTAATCTAGAAGCAAATAATTGCATATCAAGTGAAGAGTGATGAGATTTGACTGCTTACCAGGTGTGACATCAAGCAAAAGTCACTCATACTGCATTATTTTCCAAGCAGTATTTCTATCATTCAGCTTTCATATGAGGATAAATATCTTTTTAGTTCCAATAAAAATAAGTAAACATAAAGTCACCTGCCAGAAATTATAGTAACTCACTCATGCATTTCAAGAAAGATGATCTTAAAAGTCCTTGAAGTTTGAATGACCCAGTAAACTGAGGTTCTTTGAGCAAAAGACTGCAGAGATTCAGTATGTTTATTGTACTGTGAAGTTTACAACCTAGTTTTATCTCTTTAAGAGTTTTAAATTGCCTCTAAGCTGCAGTCAAGTGTTTTAGTAGTTTAAATCTTAGCTTCTGGATAAAATATTAAAATAAAATAAAATTAATTTACTAATTAATAAAATAGCTATTATTTGAGAACTCTACCCTTGAAGAGGCACTGTGTTATTTCATTCTCTTTATCCCACATTAATCCTGATAATAACTATTAAAGTGTAGGTATGATTATCATCCTTTTACAAATGAAGAAGCAAGGCCCAGAGATATTAGTTTACTTAAAGTAAGGGGCAGAGCCCAGATTTGAACCCAAATCCAGACTCCCAAAAAAGGAGAAGAAAAAAAACACCTAATAAATTATTTTTTTCTATTGTTCTATTTTTTATCTTTATTGTAGAGAGTATTACAGATGTCTCCCTGTCCCCCGCCTAATTGTCCTGCTCCACCAGTGCCTGCCTTGCCCCTATCCTGCACCACCCTATTGTCCGTGTTCAAGGGCAATGAATATATGCATATACATTCTTTGATTAATCTCTTCCCATCCCCTTTCCCTCTGAGATTCATCAGTCTGTTCCATGTTTCCATTATTTTTAAAGACCTGCTATTAAACCAAGTTGGTCGGGGGGAGGAATCCAGTCAACCATCCCATGTTTCACTGAAGACCCTAAATACAAACCCCATGGTAAGTGAGTACTATGAACCACACTAGGGAAGAAATCTGAAATACAATATATTAGTTTTACACATCCAGGTGATACATTATACATTTACCAACGCATACTGAAGTCCTTGACTTAAATATCCAAAGTAATTTCAAACAATGAGTAAATGTAAACTATTATTATCAGTATTATGCAGAACTGAAATCTCACCCCTATCTCTGGGGTTCTCTCACTCTGAAGCCATAACCCTACATCTCTGATCTCTATGAGCATCACCAGAGGAAGAAGCAAGAAAGACAAGGTGGTATCTGTGGTCCCAACAGCTCCAATAATCCATACCTGAAACTACGCTTCACTTCCTATTCTTCCTGTTTGGCACCCTCCGCTACCAAACGCTAAGATACCACACTCTCATTTTGGCCTTAGGGAGTGGACCAGAGCACAGTAGAATAATGTCATAATCCAACGTCTTTCATCAGAGTGAGAGGGGAGAGAGGGCAAAACGATTTTTAAAAACCACTCATTTGAGAAGAGAAAAAACAGTGCTGGTGGAAAACAAAGAAGTGGCCAGAAAAAAAGGAACACATGGGTCATTTAAATCAGGTTACATATAATTATTAAAAAATATAGTTACAGATAGAGAGTTAATCTTTGTTGTTTTCTTTACATTAGTAAAGTTAAGCTGTTATTTCTCAGTGCTGCCCAATACCACACGGTGCCAAATACAAGCACTAAAAAACTCAAAAAATAACAGAGCTATATTCCAATAACAGGTGAATAGTGTTCCTGAAAAATTTAGAGCAAAAATGGAAGACACATGGCTAGATTATATTTACTCTAAATATATTCAGAAAACCATTGTGAAGCTAATATTGGAATTACTATTCTATATTAAAAATCATATTTAAACTTCTAATTAGCAAATTCAAATATGCCTGTAAATATTCATCATAACTTAACGAAAAGCAAATGGACTTCCTCTTTTTAAAAAATAACATTGTCTGCTTTGAACACACTTGATACTTCCAACTCCTAAGCTTTTCCAGGGTTCTGAGTCAAGAACTAGCTTTTTTTCTAGAATTCTCCAACCCTGAAGGCATTTAGCTGTCAGTTTTCTCTGATCAGTTAGTTGGGTTCACCATTACTCAATTTTCCAACTTACAAAATGTTAACATTGTACCCCCCTTTCCTCCTCTTAAACTGAGGAATGAGTACATGACTTTTTATAAGTCCCTTACTGACTTTATTGGGGTTTCAGGAGAAAGCAAAAATAAACAGGTATGTTGAATTCACTACGCTTGAGAGCAAGCCCCACAAAATAATTTCTTGAAATAAATTTATATGGAACTCTTTTACGCCAAGGAAATGTAGTTAAGCAAGCCTTTTCCTCGGACTTGACAAGTCCCTATCCTCTCTTCTCTCCACAAAGCTGTGCTAACAGGTTACTACGCTCCGCAGGCCCACATGCCCTGCTCTCCCAGCTCTTAGCAAATGACCTGCCTGTCTTCCCCTCAGTATGTTCCCTCAATGCAAACCTGTGCTCTCCCTGAGCTGCTGATCCCAGTGGCCTCCTCTTTGGACCATCCTCTTACCTTATCTCCTCCCATCCATCCCCCTTTTTTGCTTCTATCTTCAGTCTCTGAATTGAGAATAGTTGTTTATTCTTAATTTTGCTCAACTGTTTGCAGATGGTTCTCTACTTCTGTCATTTCACCTTTCACACTACCTGTACTACTGTATATTATCTATCCCTAAACTAGGGGTGTCGAACTCAATCAGAGAAGGGGCCAAAATCTAAAATCCAGCCTAAATTGCGGGCCGAATGGTTTACTGAACAGTCATAAACTGTCATTGTGATGGAAACGCAGCGGACTGCAGTGATGACAGCGCGGTGCGGGCCACATTGCAAGGCCTGGCGGGACGGATTTGGCCCGCGGGCCTTGTGTTTGACACATGTGCCCTAAACAGTCCTTCTCACAAACCTAATTAGATATTCGCAGAAAAATGAATGTTTTCAGCTACTGCATAGTAAGGTTCCATTTTTTTCCATTTCAACAATATCTGTGCATTATACTTTCATAAACTGTAAAAAGACATTGGCAAAAAATATAAAAAAGACTTTACTATGTGATAAGAAGTCTCAAACTAACAACATGTAGGCTAAGATGAAAATAATTACATATGTCAAAAACAGCTAGTCTTTAACCTTAAAAATATATTTACAGTTGAGTTTCCTGTCGGTCCACCAGTTAAGGAAACTCAACTGTAAATAAAAAGAACAAAATGAAAAGAGCATGTATAAAAGTCTGAATTGCTAACTGTATAAAAGAGGACAGTCTGTCAGCACAGACAGAATCACCAATTATCAGACCTCACAGACGGCCCTTTCAATGACACAACCATCTTGACAATGTGGCCATGGCTGGAAAAGTGTCATTTTCACACTGATTCTACCTTAGGCCACCCAGAATGTGGCCTAAGGTACACACATGCTTCTCCAACTTGAAGATGAGCAGGGCGTGAAGGTATAGAGAGGGTACCTCAAACACATTTGGCCCCAAAACAAACACAATGTATCTCTCAAGTGCATCAATTTACTTAATGTCCCATAATGAAAAATACTTTTATATGTAAACTAGAGGCCCGGTGCACGAATTTGTGCATGGGTGGGGTCCCTTGGCCTGGCTGATGATTGGAGCCAATCGAGGCTGTCTCGCCCAGCCCTGATTAGAGCTGGCCAGCCAGGGAAAGGGGCTGCGGGAGGTTAGCCAGCTGGGGGAAGGTTAGCTGTGGAAGCACACTGACCACCAGGGGGCAGATCTTGCATTGAGCATCTGCCCCCTGCTGGTCAGTGTGCATCATAGCGACCAGTCCAACAGTTGTTCAACCGGTTGTAACTGTCACTTAGGCTTTTATATATATAGACTAGAGGCCCAGTGTACACAATTCATGCACAGGTAGGGTCTCTAGGCCTGGTCAGTGATCAAGGCTGATCCATGGGGCAACTGGCAGGGTGATGGGGGAGGGAGGCCCTCGGGACCTGTCTTGGCTGGCCTGGTGCCACAAATTTGCTGGCCCTGCCCTCTGCTGCCTCGGGTTAGGGCCTGTGGGCTGGGGACAGCTTCTGCATTGAACATCTCCCCATTGGTGGTCAGTGTGCATCATAGCAACTGGTTGTTCCACTGTTCAGTCAATTTGCAAATTAGGCTTCTATTATATAGGATAACTGATAATGTGGTTAAATAAAAGTATTAAAATTCACACAATTTTATGACATAATACAGACAAAGTGTTAAGGTTACAGTGCTGGTTGGGCTATCCTCTTAGGCTCTCTGGGAATAAATATTCACTCCATTCTTACTGCTAACACTTCCTGCAAAGATTTACAACTCCCTAAGCGAACTGTTTTGGCACTGTTGGTCCCACAAAGACAAAGCCTAGCATTAACAAAACTGACAAAACTAGCAAGACACAATTTGATTAAAAGCTCTAATTTGTTAATAAAAATTAGATAATAAAAGCCTAATATGCAAATTATCTGATATAATAAAAGCCTAATATGCAAATTGTCTCCTCAAGCAGTTCAACCAGGAGACCAGGAGTTTGACCACTCACTATGACATGTGCTGACCACCAGGGGGTGGCACAGAACACGGTGGGCGTTGGTGACATGGAAACTGGCAGCAGTGGAGGCATTGCTGGCCCCAATGGGCCCCGACAAGAACGGGACAGTGGCAGGATGATGGAGCAGGTGAGTGGGCAGTGCTAGGCCAAGGCAGGATGCCAGGCAGGGCTACGGGGCTGTGAGAGATTGGGGGCGCAAGCTGGGGCCCAACCTCCGCAGGCTACCCCAAGGGACCCCACCCATGCAGGAACTCATGCACCAGGCCTCCAGTAATATACAGTTAACAAACTTGGAAGGCTGATTATCAAACCACGAAATTAAACATATTCGTGTCTTAAAGCTCAAATCAATGTAAAAGCTCTAAGTAATAAGCAAGAACACCTAATGCAAGCAACGATGTGCTATGAAAAATAAACCCAAGAAATGCAAGACCATCACTGCCGTTGGCCTTAGAAAGAGAAGAGATAGCATGAAGGTTAGATGCAAAACACTACGTTGCCCAAATTTCATTTGTTAACAATTCCATTCTTCCCTTTTACTTTTCAGGTTGTTACTTTTAATACTAAGGAATAAAATGCGAGCAACTGATCTTAAAAACTATAAGCAAAAAAAAGAAAACTGTCAGCAATATCAAGAGAAAACAATAACCTTTTCCTGTATTTTCAGAAAAGGATGACATACATCAGAATCATAAAGCTATCCTTGAAAATGTTATTTCTGATCAAATAATCCCAAAGACATCCAGACTCAGAAACTATTGTTATATCTATGAAAGTAACCTTTAATACTTACAAAAATCATCTGATTGGTTGTCTCACTTAATAATGCATTGCCCTAGTAATGGTACTTAAACTGACATCTGTTTTCTGAAAGAAATCCCTATGATTTTTATTTTTATGTTTCATATGCATGAAATAAAAATAAAAGTTTCAATTTTACTGGCTGCCTTATTCTAAAAAAAAAAAAAGGATAAAAACAATGAGAGTCTTGGTTCTTTTAAATTAATACGTGGGGGGTGGGGGGGAAGGGTGACAGTGTCAGGTTATTTAAAAATGAAAATTATGAGAGGGCCGAAACCAGTTTGGCTCAATGGCTAGAGCGTCGGCTTGTGGACTGAAGGGTCCCAGGTTCGATTCCGGTCAAGGGCATGTACTTTGGTTGTGGGCATATCCCCTGTAGGGGGTGTGCAAGAGGCAGCTGATTGATGATTCTCTCTCATCGATGTTTCTAACTCTGTATCTCTCTCCCTTCCTCTCTGTACAAAATCAATAAAATATATTTTTTAAAAAATTATGAGAGGAAAAATAGATTTTTCAAAATTTTAATTTTATTCCTCAAATTTTGTGCTTATATGTTGTTACACATGTGATTCCCAGAACATCTTCAAAGGCAATACTTACTGTAACTGCCAGATTTTTCTTCATAAGTAAAATGAAGTTGTAATTCCTCTTCTGACATCTCACAGATAAACACTTTCAACAAATAGCAAATAATAAACAAAGCATTGTTTGTCTGCCAAATGAAGATGTGACTAAAAAAGAAAAATCAAGGTTACATAACAATCAATATTTAATCATGAGCACGATCAGTTTATTTCTAATCAATGATTTCTTCATGATTGATCAATCGTTTTGCCTGTTGTATTTGTAATATTAGAATAATGTCCATATCTTTTAATGGCTCATGATTTACGACACTGAACCAGTGAAATCTATTACAGTTTACTTCATATTTCATTCTATGTATTGTATATAGCAAGTCAACATAATAAAAATATTATCCTTTAGGCATGATTGCTCTTTGTTCTTAACTTTATAACTGTCCCACACACAGGCAATTCAAAGAAAAGAAAGCTAAAATAATTAAAAATACATAGTACCATACGAAGAATATATGCAAATACACAACAAAATTTTTAAATGGAGTATCACCAGAAGCACAGTACAATATTTGCTTTTTATATTAATAACCGTGAACTCACAAGAAAAACTTTTGTTGGATTCAATATAATTTGCTTGGGAGCTGGACAATGAGTAATCTCTTAAGAGCTAACCAGAAAAAAAAATGGTGTTAAAAAATGCTTGAGCACATTAAAGGTTAGCTTTCCACTGCATCTAATATAGAACTATAATACCTAATCTGAATCTTCTTTCATCTAATGCAAGAAACTAAGGGAACAGATGTGGAATGAAATAATACTCAAATTAAGTCATATGTCCAGCAGTAATAATGAGGAATAATGACCTTTTTAGTAATAATTACTTCACTATTAATCTACTTACATAATATATTTCTAGAGATTATCTAAAATGCTGAAAGCAGATTCCAGAATTCATCATCTCCCCCCAGTGACTTGGACAGGAAATTAAAACCTCTCTTGTACTTTTCCCCCTTAATAATAAATATAACTCCTTGAATAGCTTTTAAAAGATCATAATCAATTTCTAATAGATGAAAATACTCCTTGTTAAATACGAAAAGAACATGATCAACCAGGCAGCTTACTTCCGACATTCTGCTGAAAGTTTTAGTTCTTTGGTTCTAGAAAGGAAGACCTTAATCAATGCACCAAGGTTTCCTGTTCGAGGATTGTTTTCAACTGCAAGAGAAAGAAAGATTTTAAAAAGTTAAAATTAAAAATCAAAAGCAAAGTGAGTGTATCATAACACTTATAAAATCAAATATCAAACTGAGGTTGCTCATGGATCAGCCTATTGTCAATAAGCAATAAGAGAATCTGCTACTTGGCTGGAATTATTTCTGAACAAAAAAACTATGTACAAAATGGAAGTGCTAGAAACATCAGGAGAAAATAGCCATCTTATCGGAGAACCCAAAACTGTAAAGATAACATGTAACAGTTAATATACAAACACAATTTACATACACACATCATTCTCTTTAGAAAAACAGATGCTTAAAAAGCTCAAAAATTGATCATTCATATCCCCAGTATAAAGAATACTAGAGGCCCAGTGCCTGAAATCTGTGCATGGGGGGGTTCCCTCTGACCAGCCTTCCCCCTCTCCAACCGGGGATCCCTTGAGGGATATCTGAAACCGGCAGTCAGACATCCCTCTCACAATCCGGGACAACTGCTCAGCTGCCTGCCTGCCTGATCACCCCTAACCACCTCTGCCTGCCAGCCTGATCACCCCTAATTGCCCCCCCCCCCCCCCCCCCTGCCATAGTCTGGTCGCTCATTACTGCCCCCTTCTGCTGGCCCGCCCCCAACTATAACCCCTCCCCCACCAGCCTGGTCGCCCCACGCAACCTGCTGTTCAGTCGTTACTGTGATGGTGTCCTGGACAATTTGCATATTCCTCTATTATTAGTATAGATAATAAACCATAGAGATAAAACTATTCAGATAATCACAAATTATTCTAATGAAAATGAAGACACATAATGTGGCCAGTGAGGCACTATCTGACTATGCAAAATTTTAAAGAATGTGTTTAAAATTTGTTTTCAAGTTTAAAAGGTATTTCAACAAAGCCAGCTTAGAGTTGAGAAGACTGTATTGGAAATGTAAAGATCTGGCTTCTAGATCCAAGTCTATAATAAGGGAATATTGAAACTCAGGCAAAATTATTAACTTCTCCACCTCAGTTTTCTCATCTGGAAAAGAAGCCACAGCTAATATATACTGAACAATACACTTAATGCTTTCCATGCATTACCTACTATAATCCTCAAAACTACATATGGCGTAAGCACGAATATGACCTCAATTTTACAGAGCCTCACCTCTACGTTCTTGCTTGTTCAAGGACACGTCGTTATCTACTGGCTCAAATCCTTGGCCCTGCACTATGCCAAACCAGCTGTGTAATCAAGGAATTGGACCCAATGAAACTCTAAAGTTCTATCAGGCTGCAGAGCAAGACATAGGCTATGATTAATTTTGTGTGTCAACTTGACTGGGCCACCGGATACCCAGGTATCCAGTTAACATTATTCCCCGTGTGTTGGGGAGAGGGTCTCTTCATTGAATCAGTAGACTGAGTAAAGCAGCTTGCCGTCACCATGGAGGGCCAACAGAGTAAAGTCAGAGGAAGACTGAATTCTATCAGCCTGACTGTTGAGCTGAAACATCAGTCTTCTTCCGCCCTTAGATGGGACTCGAACATTGGCTCTCCTAGTTCTCAGGCCTTTGGACGTGGACTGGAATTTATACCATTAACCTTCCTTGGTCCTCGAGCATGTACACCAGATCACTGGATTGTTCAGCCTTCATAGTCATGTGAGCCAATTTCTTATAATAAATCTCATTTTATATATGCCAGGTGTCTCAAAAAAAAAAAATCCTATATAATAAAAGGGTAATATACCAATCAACCAAATGGTAGAATCACCTGTCGCTATGACATGCAATGACCACCAGGGGGCAGACATCCAACACAGGAGTTGCTCCCAGGTGGTCAGTGTGCTCTCACTGGGGGAGGGCCACTCAGCCACAAGCCAGGCTGACGGCTGGTGATCACAGCAGTGGTGGTGGGAGCCTTCCTGCCTCCACAGCAGTGCTAAGGATATCCGACTGCAGTTAGGCCCAAGCCGTCAGTCAGATATCCCCCAAGCGCTCCTGAACTGCTAAAGGGCATAGGCTGGGCTGAGGGACCCTGCCTGCTGGAGCACAAGTGCCGTGCTCCGGGCCTCTAGTGTATACATATTTCAGCTGACAGCTCAATTTTGAAAACGAAATGTATTTTAATAAACACTGCTTTTATAATTATTCAAAGTGTGTACATACATTTTTAATTATAATTATTCAAAGTGTGTACACACATTTTTAAGGGACCTTCCTTGGTCCCTTGGATTTTTTTAAGGGACCAAGGAAGGTCCCTTAAAAAAATCCATTCTATGGATTCTGTTTCCCTGGAAAACCCTGACTAATAGAGCATGGAAGCACAGAAAAATTCACCTTAGCCCAGTCTTCGTGGCTTAGTGGTTGAGTGTCGACCAGGAAGCCGTGGTTCAATTCTCAGTCAGGGCATATGCCTGAGTTGTGGGCTCAATCTCCAGTGTGGGGCACGCAGGAGGCAGCCAATCAATGATTCTTTCTCATCATCGATGTTTCTCTCTCTCTCTCCCTCTCCCTTCCTTTCTGAAATCAATGAAAATATTTTTTTTAAAGAATTAATCCTAAGGGAGAGACTATTTTTAGTCAGAACCTTTATTTACTTTTACTGGTGGAAGAAAAAGAAATTCAGAAAGGCTATATGTTGGGCCCAAAGTCAACAACATGTTAGTGACAAATGCCCAGTCTTTTCACTTTATCGATGGTTTTCAAAATGTGAGATTCTGGAGTTCTGGGGTATTTTTTCACTTTTGAAATACATTTTTAACTATTTTGAAAACAAGAAATGCAAATACACATGTTGGCTTGTGCTGCCAGAAGAATTCATTTTTATGCAGATCTGAGAATTATGCTTTTGCTGCCATTTCTATGCATAATATCTAAACTTCTGTGTCAAAGATATAAAAATATGTCGTTCTCCAGAATTTTTTATCCAGGTCTGCACATACATACTTTAAAAATGTACATGGATATAAGCACACCATTACAGCGTATCTGCTCTGTGCCCATAATTGGCAAGTTAACTTGGTCTATCTCCCAGATATGTGTTCCTGCCACGGCCTGAGAGTCAATGCATGTAACTGTATAACTTTCTCATTATGACAGAAGTTGTAGTAGCTTGCTGTTACACGTGTCACTCATGAACTAGTGGCAACAGCATTGTCTGAGAGCTGTTGGAAGTACAGAATCTCAGGTTCACCCTACACCTAATGAAGTTGATGTGCTTTTCAAAGGTTAATGTATATTTAAATCACATTTAAAGTTTAAATTTTGACTCTGCCCATGTGAAGTGTGATCTGAGACTCTGCATCGCTAACAGCTCCCTGCTGCTGGCTGGAGAACCCCTGCTCTGTGTGCTGTAAATTAGGGCAGGCCTGGCCCAGCTTTCATAATCAAGGATAGGTGGATGATTAGATATTAGATATTAGATATTGTTATAGTTTCTCTATGAAACACAAATTTCCTACCTTCAATCTTTGGGCTTAGTTTGATGAAAGAATATCATAAGGTTTCAAGATAAACTGTTTTTCTTTAAAAAAAAAAAAAAAATAACCCAGTTACTCTTTGCAAGTGTGTCTTTATGTAAATTAACATTATCTAGCTATTGTAAACCAAAACAAAATACTAATATAAAGAGTTGAAGCTGATATAATTCAGAATCCCAACTTTACAATCTTGTTTATTCAACAGCCCCTTTATTACTGAATTACTTTATAATTGTTTTAATTTATAAATATCTAGCTATTAAAAAACAAATCTGTCTATTGGAAAGATCAATCAAACTACTAGACAGATGTAATTAAAACTCTGTGTACCTTTTTCAACCATTTGGCACGTATTTATTGAGCTCCTTATATGTATCAGCACTGTTTCAGGTATAAGAAAATACTTATCAACAGAATTCCCTGTATTTTTATTTTATTTTATTGATTTCAGAGAGGAAGGGAAAGATAGAAACAGCAATGATGAGAGAGAATCAATGATTGGTTGCCTTCTGCATGCCCCACACTGAAGACCGAGCCCACAACCCGGGCATGTGCCCTGACCAGGATTCAAACCATGACCTCCACGTGCCCTGACTAGGAAGCAAACAGTGACCTTCCTGTGCCCTGACCAGGAATCAAACCGTGACTTCCTGGTTTTTAGGTCGATGCTCAACCACTGAGCCATGCTGGCTGGGCTCTTTGCCATAATAAAGCTGATATTCTAAGATAGTTAAGTTTCCACAGTACTCTTCTGGGCAAGATGCAAATGGGGCAATTAGTTAATAAAAGTAAGTATACTCAGTGATGTTTCAACAACAGGTATAATATTCCAAAATACCTCAATGGATTTGAACAGGATCAAACCTATTGATAGTTGGTAAAAATCAAATGCTATGTTAAAGATGAATGAGCTTCAGGAGCCAGAGTAGGAACTGGGACATCTGACAGGAAGGCAGAAAAGCATAATGGAACTAGACTACAGATCTGACCAGGTTCAAACCCCAGCTTTCCCTGATTAGCTGTGTGACACCTGGCAACTTACTTAACCTCCCCACACCTCATCAGTTTCCTCATTGTGCAACTAGGATCATAGTACTTAACCATAATAACTCATTTGCCTCTAGAGCTTAAACTTGTAGAAATCTATTAACTAATTTGGCCTTTTATATAAAGAAGGCAATTCTTCACGTCTACGGGAGTTCAACCAAGGTCTGAGTAACACTCATGTAAGGGTATTATAAAGAGGATTTCCACCTGAAGAGAGAGGTTGAACTTCCTTCAGGCCCTGAAACAACCTTTCCCAATATCTCACTAACATACCCATGAGCCACAAGACCCAATAACCAATATAGAGGAAACACAGAGGACAGAAACAATTCAATCAAAAAAATCTACATTATGGGAAACTTTATGACCCATTTTCTTTTTTTTTTAATTACTTTTTATTTTTTTACCTAGAGGCCCAGTGCATGAAATTTGTGCACTGTAGGTGGGGGTCCCTCATCCCAGCCCTTGCCCTCTTGCAGTCTGGGA